TGGAAACAATGAAATCAGCTGCTCTACTATTTTGAGGAGTTTCACAGCTACTTTTGGAGGAAAAAAAAGCACAAAATAAAAATGCATCCGATTTTGCAAACCCCATCCCTTTAAAAAGATACCAGGCATCTATTTGGGAATCTGTAGTTATGCCAACGGCACATTAAATTGATGCACTAAGCCTCCATTAATGGTATCAAAAGCTAGAATCTGTAGTAAAAGTTAAGCATATACAAAAGCATCAGATTGTTCAGAACAGAAAGATGTCTATTAAAATTCTTTGACTAATAGACAAGCTATTTGAAACACTGACCTAAAAAAAAAAATGCTCTCTTTTTTCTATCTGAACATAAGTTGTATATTAAACAGTCTATTTTGCTTTGAAGTATATTCTGCTCTGACATCTCTGTCCTCAGAAGACCGGAGTTAACCCACCAAATATAAAAAACAGCCTCAGATATCTTTTCTTTTAAAGTCTGGACTTTCCTGCTCTGACCTGAACAGGCAAGTCAGTATTTGTGGCAAATGTTCATTACTAATGCTCCTGAAATTTGTCTAGCTTTTGAACCACACAAAAGAGGTATAGTCTCACACTTCCAGTGTGGCAACAACAGACTCATCTGCTGCCAAAACAACAGACTCCTCATTGTCCCAACATCACATGCACACTCCACAAAGACATCTAGCAGCCACAGGGCCTTTCTGCATCTTGCAAAAGCTCATTAGTGCAGCGTACAGTACTACCAAAGACTTTTGCCCAGAAGAATAGTGAAACTTGTTCCTAAAACTCAGTATGAAATATAAAAAGAATTTGATGCTTAGAAGTACCCCAGGCAAACTGACACTTGTCAGATCTAGAGAGTCACATTAAAAAAAAAAGGACAAATCAGTACAGGAAAAATGTCTTTAAAACACCCTAAAACTAAACTAGAAGGAGATAAAGGTGTATTTAAACTAGTTGTACATCTTTGAACACGATCTGGAAGTAAGGAAACAGAAAACAAGTCACTGGCAGACATCTCAAGTAGAAATAACAGTGATGTTAATAATAAGTGAACTGGTCAGACGAAGGCTATCAAATAAATTAGCACGCTTGTATTATGCAACTTCAAAAAAAAAAAGTAGGTGAAACCAACACTAATGCAGTTTCCATTTGATGGACTGGATTTCTCAAGGCTTAAGAAGACTATGAGATAGAAAGAAACCATGTGGAACTTCAAAAGCAGTTTAAGCAGGCTGCACACGAAATCTTCAAACGGAGCAATATACTTCCCTAATAGGACGATGCTCACTGGACACGTGCACTTTGACAGAGGTTTTGCAGTCCAATCTATCACAATCTCCAAAGCACAGGTTTCAAACCACATACATAACTAACAAAACAGCTTAGAATTTACTACTGAATTGAGACATGTCATATGGAAAAACAGGAATCCATGAAAACACCGTTGCTGGTTTCTGCAAAAACTTCAGACTGACTGCAGAAATCCAAAACATTTTAATGTCTTTTAAAGACAGCCGAGGTCTCCACTCTAATAAAGACAAATGCATTTAACCTCGTCTCTATGGTAAATCAAAGTAGCATACAAAGTTTAACATATTTGAAGTGTGTCATAAGAGAGTATCACAACGAAAAAGTACCTGGTAAGAGAGTACCAGATACACCCTGTCTTGAAGTTCAAGGCAACCAGGATCCGTCTATGCTCTACTCCGGAAACTGTTGAAAGAAAAGATGCAGCAGTTATTCATGTTGGTTTCTTCTTAAGATCATAATGATCTTGACATCAGAGGCACGCTGGAAGTTTTCAAGTTTCAATCTGCATGTTTGCAGTTCCTGGAGATGTAAGTTCAGGCAGCAAGAATGCAACTAAAAAAAATTACAAATCCAAGTGTTTTTGAGACAAGTTTTTCCTATATTTACACAGGCTCAGAAAGTCAGAAGGGAACATACACTCTAGTATAACCGCAGGATTCAGTTTCAAATGCAAATGCTCACTGAAAAATCCAGAATAAAGCAGAAACATCAAAAGTTATTATGTGTTTATATTACATTAACTGCTAGAATATTGTTCAGAAGAGACAGTGGTACTAGCAATATCAATGACTCTAAATACAAGGAAAAAAACATTTCTCAAATAATAAAGAGAGAAGACATCAACTTGTTTCATTTGAAAATATTTTCTTTCAGTTAACAGAGCAGAGATATATGGCTTGATCAAGTTCTTTTTAAGAAAATGAGTCCTACTCATGATAATCTCAAAAACAAAAAGATTCCTGACAGATCATTCTTTGGATCAGTCTACTAGAAAGAAGGAGGGGGGGAAAGTTCCTGTCTGTCACTTTGACAATGGTCCATTCTGCAATACCACACAAACTAGTTCTATGTATATTTTAGTGCATCCTAGACTAAGTCAATCTTAAAAGTCTGATTGATCTGAAAATCAATATCTGAGATGAGGTTCTTAAAGTATTCTTTATTAATATCATTAGAAGTTGCAGAAACAACTTTCTTGTAATATAAAGGCACAGGGAGACAGTTTTGATAAAATATTCCAATCAAACAGTAACTTACAGTACAAAAGGACAATTGTAATGCACATACAAACCCCAAACATCTCATTCAAAAATATTTCACTGTGTTCATCAATAATTATGGGCAATGACTAAAAATATAAATTGTTATTGTACAATAAATATCTGATAGGTGCAAATGGAACAAGATTTATTGCTCTCCACAATACTTTCCCTGTAGTTTGTTTTTGTTTTTTTTTTTTTTTAAGTTCCAAATTCCTTTTATAATCAGCTTTAGTAAATTATTTCTGAGGGAACTAAACCCCAAACCAAATCTGACAGGACATTCTGACAGTTACAGAACTGCCTCAAGTAGTAAACAGAACTGGCAGTGTTTGTTTCTTTTACAACTTGAACAATCATACTCCACTCGCTCATTGGGAAATGTGGTAAATATTTTAAAATCAACTTTAGTGATAAGTCAAGGCTTTTATGGTAGGCTAGTATTACCTAGTCTGAGGGCTAGTCTATTTTCTTCAAATAAGTGGATATTACGACAAAAAATAACATGAACCTTCTCTGACAGCTTGTGCCAGGGCAAGTATGTAAAACCATTTTCAAATGAGGGGAGGGGACAAATGAAAATTAAAAGCTGCACTGGGCATTTTAACTTCAGAAAACAAGACAATGGATTGGGAGCAAATTAGGACTACATAGGCAAAGATGACTTCAAGTGAGAATTTTGAATTCTAAAATATCCTTAAAATAGTCATCTAAGAAATCAAAAAGCACTTTGCATCTTTATATGGCTCAACTTCTTGAGCTTTGAGAAAGAAGGGCCTGCTAGTGAGTTTGCCATTTTCCTCACCTTGCAATAATTTGGTAAAGCAACTGTTTCCATCAGTCTTCTGGTGCAGTCTGCGAGCTATACTAGCTCTGCTTTCGAAAGTAGCACATACTACCTCGCTCAGAATTCTTTTTAGCTTGTATGAAATATTGTTTTACACACACATTTAAGAAATAGTCGTTTCCTTCATTACTGTTACAAGAAGTAATATGCATACATTTCCTAAGAGTATCTTTTTATGAACAAGACTTCAGAAAAATGAAGCATTATAGCAGTTGTAAAAAAAAAAGCAAGCTTTGAAGTGAGTTCTTGTAGCTTTAACAGATTTTTATAAAAACTGTAATTTATGAGAACAACTCCAGATTTACACAAACCTCAGCAAGTCAGTTTGAACTGCACTGGGAACAGGCCAACAATAAAAGGTGTTGTTCAATAAAAGGTGTCCAGAGTGAATACCACTAGATCAATTTAGTTGGTAAACCAAAAGATGAATATTCAGTAAACTCCATTACACTTTAATTCAACAGAATCAGGAATGATGTAAAACAAACTGCTAACTTTCTAGACGTTATTATTATTCAGATCAGGGTTTTCTTCTAGTATAAGCACACAGTTTTAAAAGTTCTTCAAAGAGTAAACAAGGACAACTGAAATTTGAATCTTGAGAATTACTACCTTTGCTAGCATTTTTTTTTTGTTACTATTTGTTTAGAAACTAATAAACAAAACCATTTTCTTTGGTCTACGCTTAACTACATTGGACTAATGAACTTTTACTTTTAGTCAAGCTTCTATCCCCAATTTAAATTCATACAGATCTTTTTATTGTAGTCTCTCTCCAATTCTCAAATTATCTCTGTTAAAAATAAGAGTTTGCTCACACCATGATTTCCTGCTAAACAGTCATGTGTATATACTGGCATGAAGGGTAAAAGTTTTGTACAATAATTACATCAAGTGATATTTCCAATGGCAGAACTACAAAGGACATCAAATGAATGGTAGTTCAAATGACAATTGAGTTTATGATGAACTTAAAAAAAATACACAATGTCTAAGCATAGTAAAATACAGTGTAAAACTCCCTAAAAATAGACAGTAAACATGGGAATCCTGCACTCACAGTAGGAACGTGCTGCACAGTATTAACATGAAAGCCCGTTAAATTTGCAACAATGCAGACAGCTAGATTTACGTGGATGTGAATGCCACTTCAAGGTGTTTAAACAAACACAAAAATGAGACAATGATGTCAGGAAAACGGCCTTTAAAACAGGCCATCAGTCTAACTTGACTTTCCAAGTAAGAAAATCAGCTTCACAAAACTGTGACACTAATGTAGTTTTATGTAAAGTACCCTTTGACACACAAGCTGTCAATTAAGCTATCACAGTCTTTTTTTACCTACTCCCTTTTAAATAGTTAGGGAGGAGAGTCAATAGTAGCTCAAGTTTTAGTTCAGTGAGTACCTTGTCTGTTTGCAAAGGAACATTATAACACCATAAAATTATGTTTTTATGGTACTTAGAAAACTGAGAAACTAGTTTCTTTTTATTTTATTTTCTCTTTTTAATACGTAAGTTCAAAACTTCATTTTCTATGTGTCTTTGCAATAGTGTTTTAGCCAGTGTTGCAAAAAAATTTTCACTGTGGACTACCTCACATTGTTACTCAATTGTGCAAGGTATTCACGCAGTTCTTTCGCCGCTTGGAATCTACCATATCGCTTCTTTGGGTTGGCACACTCATCCAGCAAGGCCTCAAGCCGGCCATCTTTGGCAATTTCAGCTGGGGGGTCATGAAGTAGTCCTCCAGAAGTGCCACGCCACGTGGCATGTCTTGATAAAAGGTTCTGACAAATAGCATAATAATTGTGGTCCACAGTGACACGAGCACAAAGAATTTCTTTCGAGAAGGACAGACAAGCTTCTTTGTCACAGTCATCAAATTTGCTTTCATACCATACATCCCAGTTTTCAGGTTTATCTGTGAAATATAAGGAGACAGTAAAAAAACAAACTGAGAGAGAGGAGGAAAGGGCATATGTGCATCTGAATACAATCAAAAGCTCAATACACAGCAAACTGGTAATATTTAAACTACAAACCAACTCTATTTAGATGACTTCTTAAATGTTCTAGTCTAAGATTGCATCTGACGGTTTGATAAACCCTTCTGCTGAAATGGTCCTGGCAATACAAAAAACAAGGGAATGAAAGAAAAAGGGTAAAATAGGTAGCAAAGAGAAGGAAGCAGAAAAAACAGCCCACTAAAACACATGAAATCTACATTCACACAGATACCCAAAGGAAAAAATGTAGCACGAACAAGTACAAGAGAATGATTCACTACTGAAGTTCACAGAGAAACAAGTAACATGATTTATTTTAGCAACACAGATTTGGTTTCCCCAGTTGCCCTGGGAACTAACAGTGGTAAGTGGTCTACCAAAGCACAAAAAAAACATTGCAAAGTAATTGCCATAAACTTCTGAAACGTTATCTTCCAACCTCTTACTTTAGACATGGTAGTAACTAAGAAGGGCGTATAAAAAAGCAGATGCATTTCATATAATCTCTGAATAGAAAAAATTCAACAAAACAAACGGCATTTACATACATCTATCAACCCTTCCTTATATGTATTTAAAAAGTTATCAAAATTTGAAGGTGTAACTAGTGGCTTTGTCACAAAGCTTTCTTTAACTTAAAAACCTGATTTACAGAAATTACCTTCTACAATAACACATAAAAGGTTATTAAGTATGAGATCTCCTGAGTTCTTACTACTTTTTGTTAGAAAACTTTCATCTTAAGTTTCTAGATTACTGCCAGGTTTGAGAAGAGGTCTGTATCATGGAGTCTCATAGTTTTGCAGATCTCTTTTAGCACTGTGATGTACAAAGAAAAATGTATCTGTGTTTGGTAGTGTCTGAGCTGACTACTGGTCCACTCATTTATGGTGTACTGCAAGCCAGACTAGGGAAAAAAATCATGTACTGAAGGCTGACTGCTAAAACTGTAAAAATATGATGTAAAATTCATACAATGAACAGCAAACCCGAATTGAAAAAAAGTCAGCAAAGCAGAATGGAGAAAAAGGGCTTCATCAAACTCAGCTATGATATCCCACATAGAGTACAATCAGATATTACTGTACAGTGCAATTAGACAGAATGTACACATTCAACTATCTAAACAGGCATATTAATCACTCTAGCCAGAGATTGTTTAATGAAACTTTACAGGATATTAATGAAATCAGTATTAAATGTCAAATTATATAAAGACTAAGAACTTTCTTGTGTCTTTATTTGTTTTCTGTGTTCTTGACTAATTGTTAGATTACAAATCGTGCAGCAAAATCCTAGTTAGATCCAATTAGTCTGAGAACAATAGACAACAGACGTCAGCAGGACACTTTTGGCATTTAGCTTCTGCAAGATGCTACTTGCTCTTATTCCATGTACACATCAACTTTGAAAAAGTTCATTTGGTCATATTTGTGACTGAGCAATTCAGACACGCTCCAAAAGTCAAAGTCTTAAGTAATATTATTTTAAGAGGGTGGAAAAAGAAATAGATTACAAATCGTGCAGCAAAATCCTAGTTAGATCCAATTAGTCTGAGAACAATAGACAACAGACGTCAGCAGGACACTTTTGGCATTTAGCTTCTGCAAGATGCTACTTGCTCTTATTCCATGTACACATCAACTTTGAAAAAGTTCATTTGGTCATATTTGTGACTGAGCAATTCAGACACGCTCCAAAAGTCAAAGTCTTAAGTAATATTATTTTAAAAGGGTGAAAAAAAAAAAAAAAAAAAAAAAAAGAAAGTTTGTTTGTGTAGCCCATAAGTACTAAAGTAAGTGTAACGGATATCCAATACATTAAAAGGTTTTCTTGGTAGACTCACATAATTTCAATCCAAGCTCCTTGAGAACGTATAATAAATCTAACACAAAAACAAAACAAAAACTTCACACCACCAAAAAAAAACCAAAAAACATACTTCCTTGTAGAAAAGTATGTGGATAGCAAATACCATCTCATTCAGCAGCACAGCATATGAAGTGTATTTGCAAAGCTTAAAAAAAAAAAAAAAACATTCACCCAAAGCAAACTGGAATCACTTGGCTTACTGCCATGAACTTCTGTCGAATCTTGGGTTTCATGTTCAGCCTTTAGGTCTGTAAAGTTTTCCTTATAAGCTCAAAAGGAATATAAACCCATGTAATGACACTTTGTCAAACAACTCTTCTGCTGCCACTGCTTTGAGCTTTTACAGTTGACAGAAAGATGAATGAATTTTCACTATTCCCATTTGGAAACAGCACTAAAATTACTCATTCCTTCAGCTCCATTGTTACAGAGCACCGACCTGAACAACTGAACCAGAGGCAGGCTATGTAACCAAGGCAAAGCAGGCCATAAGACCGTCTTGTCATTCACAGAAAACAGAATGCCAAGACTTCCATCCTTACAGACGTCTGGAAAAAAAGCAAGGAACGTCTCCTAGCTACTGCAGACAAGCCAGCCAGCCCATCTGTCTGCCTGTCCATCCATCTGTACAAACCCGTCCAAGGTCCAAACCCTCTCCTCCCACCTCCACCTCCCCATTTAAGCAGGATTACAGAGATTAAAAGTATATGTAAATTAAGTTCAGGTAAGCGCAATGCTTCATAAAATTGACAAATTGGTCAAGTTAATTAGTAATCTAATTGCAGATGAGAGATAATTAGTTTGTTAATTAGTAATCTAGTTATAAAGCCAACAAAATGGATATTTAGCAACTACACATACTTTAAATATTGTGCTTGCAAAGAATCAAGAGACATGGCGTGAGGGGAAGGGAGAGAAAGAAACTTACTCTGTCTGATTAACCTTTTATCTGCTACCAGAACGTTTTCTGCATCTACAATGATAACTTTCCCATCTCTTGGTCCAACTGCAAAGTTGTCAAAGCTGACATCAAGGAGGTAGAGTGCAAATTCAAAGTCATTATTTGTCAGCTGCTCAGCTATTTCCATTAACTGCCAGGCCAGATCCACTCGTTTCTCCCATGGTGCATTAAAGTAACTCCACAGCTCTTCTCCAACGTAATTGACAGCCACCATTCTTCCACATGCTCCTAAGTACTTTGCGAATGGCCAGCCCTCATCAGATGGAAAACTCTGTACATAAAAAGATTTTTTAAAATTTTCATTAATACAAAACAGCTTAGATTTTAAAAGGCTGTTCAATAAAATTTAGGAGAGACACCTGTAAACATCCATCAACACTACATTTCCATGTACTTCTAAGTTAGGGGGGAAAGAAAAAAACAACACAAAATATATTTACGTGAGCAAGAGGCCCTGCTAGACTACTAAAGGGAAGATACACATTTTCACATACACATGCACAATTCCATCAATTATCTTTTTCTATTGGTGTTTCATACACATCTGTTGTACTAATGCAAGTGTACTTCCCACCAAGATAATTCTGTATCTGACATTTTTAATTAAAAATGATTTTTTTAATAACCTGAAGGAAAAAGATTTAAAAAGCGACACCTCCTTCTCCCCTCCCCTTCCCATTTTTCCCAGTTGATTGGATTCCTTTGAGGATCCTCTCACTTGAAGATTTCTTACAGAAAGGATTACAGAACAGATTAAGGTATAAAAGAAAGCTTAGGCTTTCTTACGCCTCTAGTACTCCTTAACAGGCTACCTCTTGATTAATTGCTACATAAATACTCTGTGTGTCTATTACACACAGCCACATCACATTTTTATCAAAAGTAAAATCTGTCTCCAACAGCAGCTTTCATGGAAGTTAACATAAGAGACTGAATAGTAATAACATACTACAAGTGATAAAAACAAAAACACACCAGCGTATTTTTCCTACTTCTGTTAACTGAATGTGCCCCAAGACTTCAATCTGAACAGACAAGCATTTAAAAGGTATCCTCCATACTATGCATCAGGCAGAAACCAGAAAAACATTAATTTGAGAAGCCCCAAACGCGCAGAAGTTAGCACTCTCTCAGAATATAATGTACACTAATTTAACAATTAGGAGATATCACTGTGCACATGCTCCTTTGCCATGCACTACTCTGCTATCGTGTCACCAGAAACAAATCGTAATCAGTTCTGCAACGATGATGTAGCAAAGGTTTTACCACATTTGGGTTGAATGGCATGGTGGGTTTCAGTCCAAACAGAAGCTTTATACCTCCTGAAATCCATGATGGCAGAAAACATATACGGTAAATGGAGAAAAAGAGACACTGGAAGGAAATACATCATGCAGAACAGATCTGAACTACAAGACCAGTCAGGGAAGAGGTGCCCAGCACTCACCCATCTGTGTGTGTATCCCACTTCAAAAAACAAAAAAATTTAGAAAAGTTGTGAGTGCTTACATACCCAATTACCATAGCCTTAGAATTCATACCTCCCTTACAACAATCCTTAATTTTACCTATGTCTGTGCTTCCTTTGCTAACAAAGTTTTGATCATTTTATCTTAAACATTAGGCATCAGCTGACGCTAAGCCAAGGTTAGAATACTGATGTTAGTCAGAAACACTAGAAGCTCTGTAATACAGAAGGAACTGCAAGCCACATCTACTTGGAAGAATTAATACTGCTTCTTGAAACGCAAACAGCAAAGTTAAAGCTATACTCAATTCACACACTAAGACTCCAAATTTAGTATTAAAAAAGCCCTGAAAAAACAAAATAGATTGGCTTAGATCCCAACAGTCAATACAGTAATATAAATCACCCATACACACTCCAATCTTTATTCACAAAACTTGCTTGCATGTTTCACTAGTGGTTTTCTGTGTAAGCACGCTTCCACGACAGTGGAACCAAGTTTCTTTAAAGAGACTACTAACTAGCCTCTGATCCAAAAAGTCATTGAATCAATGAATTCTCCAGCAATATCCAAGGGGAAAATTCTTTCAAATGAAATTAGTTATTTACAAAGGAACAGTCCAAATGTATGTACCTTTCAGTCCTATATCCCATGCAAGTCTACTTTATCCATATCTGATAAAACCAAATTTGTATCTTCAATTGGAGAAAATTTATCCGGTTACTTTTTCTGATAAACACAGGTTTAACTGATTTCACCAACTGTGCATAATATTTTCATATTGCTGCATTTAATCAGCACTCAATGCAATATATTCACATAAATTGCTACAGCAATGATACCTAAATATTTTTATCTAAGTATGACTTCGGAAGACCTCATTCCTTTTCTTTTCCATGTCTCTCCTTTCCTGTATTCCAGTCCTGCTCTGCTTATGCCTTTGCCTCCCTTTCCAAATACAAATTCAACCACAAACAGTTGAAGTTGGCAAAGGCCATGCTACCATTGGAAGTGAAGGTGTCCATCCCTCCCAACCCATCAAGAACACTCATTTCCATCCCCTCCTCCATGTCCTTAGGAAAGCAATGCAGCTGGTACTCTCTGGGCTGGTGGTCAGCTGGATCAGTAGCCTGATCCAGCTCATCACATCACCACATCATGCTAGTACTGACAAGAGGAAGCGAGAAGGCCTGAACAGCCAGGTGCAGAAAAGAGGAAAGGAGCTAAGAGAACCTTTCCTTTCCATCAGCAGCAGGGATTTACGTAATGGATTAAACTGATTTTGAAAGCACAGCATTAGCCACAATGGTACACTGATCTTCAAAACACATCTTTTAAGCTTCCTCCATTGTGTACACTGAATTTCATTTCACACAAGAAATTCTAGGAGCAGTTTGGTTTATTAAGAAGTGAACATCTCAAACAGTACTAGTAAAAATCTCCATGCCATACTGTTACACAGATATATTTATAACTCTGTGGCAATAAAAAAGACCCTTTGACAACAGGAGTGCAGGGAATCCTGCCAACATCTGCACATGTACAAACAACATCTCTCTTTTGGCACCCTTCCAACTGGCACGCAACAGCCACATCTACACTCCATTACCCAAGCCAGTAGCCGAGGAAGGGGATAAAAATATGTACAAGTGCCCCATTCAGCAGGTTTATATTCACTTGGTGAATTTGGCAAGAATATTAATTGAAGTGCAGATCTGTTGTCTTTGCAAGCAGAGATTTGTAACTTTTTGTACTATTTTATTTTTAAAGCATCTTTCTAGATGAAATTGCAGCTAACTTAACATGAGGATCTTTTTTCATCATGTACTAAAATTTTGAAAGCCAGTAAGACATGAACACAAATTTGTATGGTCCTTAAACACGTTTTCCATGCACAAGTTGCATTTAGAAACAAAAAGCTTACATAGCTGCCAAAAATCTCAGATTTCTGTGGAGTAATGCATAACATTATTTTATTTTTTCTTTTAATTCTCAAATTATTAGTAGTATATTTAATTAGATATTTTTTATGTGAATATGCTATTTAAAGACTTTAAAATGTGCATTTGACCATTAAGATAAAAACTAAGCTCTTGTTCAAAACCAGAAACAGCTATCTGACAAAAGAATCTGCAATTCTGATGCACCCACTCACATTTTATCTGTGAATATACACATAAATGCCATGGAAACCACAGACAAATAAGCTTTTAAAAGCTGTTTAAAATACAGTAATGCATACGAAAAACTACAAACAGGTAGCTTAGTAAGTTTTCCCTCATTAAAGTTGTTACCCTTCTCTATTCACAGAGAAATATGTATAATCTTCTAATAGAAACATGGAAAACATAATTATGACAAAAACTTCTGCTACCTCCATTCCCAGTGACACATATATCAAAAAAATATTTTAGTTGCCCTAATTAACGTAACTACAAGATACCTCTCTAAGCACGGTTTAAAAACCTAAATAAACCATGTCAAAGGGACAAAGCACATTTTGTTCCTCAAAGAATAATGCTGCATCTATGTCTTTTAAAAAAAACACACTGTAGTCTGACAATAAATATTGACAGTTAATAGGGTGAATTTATCATTTCACTGAAGCATAAAACACACTATCAGTGCATTTGTCTTCCTCACTTCCATCTGTCTAAACATTAGAAGATATACAAATCTGCCACCAGTTTTGAGCATTCAGAGCTGTGAATTAGATCATGCAGTGAATACTCACCAGCTTGAAGCTGATAAGGCATATTGTAGTCTGCAATAACACAAATCCCCTTTGAATTAAACACTTAAAAGAATATTAGTTTATCATAATCAAGCATATAACTCGTCCTAATAATCAAGTCCAAAAAAAGCCAAACCAGTTTAACAACTGACATCTTTGAGCTACAGTTCCACTGTACCATTAAAAAAATATGCTTTTCATTTTCAAAACTACTCTACAAGATGCTATGTCACTACCAATTTTTGTATAAAGTGAGTTCCATCTAAAAAAAAAAAAACCACACACCCCCCAACCCCAAAAACAAACAAAGAGCTACACCTTAAATATGATGAAATTAAAAACATCTGCAGAACAGAGTGGGGACTTCTCTTCCGACTCCTTATGACCTTGAAGACCTTCATGGCAAAATTACACCCTTTGTCATGCCTTTGCTAAAATCATCCAACTAAACTGTGTTTGCCCAGGCACAAACTGGCATGGCAAGTAGAATTTAAATATGCTCCTCCTCAAAAGGAAAAAAATTAGTTCTGTCTCGCAGAGTACTGTTGATTCTGCAGTGTAAACAGAAGTAGCACTTGTATTCGTCACCAAGGCAAATAAGTAGAGCTCTGGAACCACAAAGACCTGGAGATCAGATTTTACAATTAAACTTTTCAGATCAAAGAAGGTTAAAAAGCACAGTCTAAACACAGATGCCTTCTTTTGTCAGGAAATGATGTGCATTCTAGAAGATAGGTATTCAAATGTATATGTGAATGCTAGTGAGTATAATGAAAACAACTGAATTCTCAACTATACACAAAATAATTTTACATTCAACTAAAACTCCCACGAAAATTAAGCATATACATATATATAGTCTACATAGACGCAATGAAGAGTGGGTTTCATTGAATATTCCAAATATTAGTATTCCCACTGAAACTACATTTCTTTCATTTATTTGACTTTTGTTCAGTTTTATTACATTTCAACCACTTACTACATACAATTCATGCAACAAGAGATACATATCAGGCTTAACTGGCACACTATAGGACAAAAATACACAAACAACTCTAAATATAAACCCACCCAGAATTGGAAGTTGCTCAATGATTAAGTTGAACACTTGAACTGTAAAAGGTGTATTTCACAATGTTAGCAGAGGTATGTCATTTCTCCAAACAAATTAATGAATAATGATTAAAGACAAGAACAAGAGAAAAGAAAATTTAATGTCGTATTGTTTTTTACCTGTTCAAATTAGTTTGTAGTTGATTAAAGCTTGTTCCAATTAAATTTGCAATAGATGAAAATTATCAGTATCTACTTTCTCATCAGTTACGAGTCTGGAATATCTCACAATGAAGAAGTCCTAGCAGATATGGCCTACTCTGAAAGTTAATTTACAAAATTGAAGAGACTAAAACAAAGTCTCAATTACTTAATTCAGGGAAGTAAAATACAGCTCCCTCCTCTACATCAGACATACTAGAAGCAAATGGACAACACTGGTATTTCAAGGTTTGGAATGTGGGGTAACACGCTTCTTTTGTGTTACTGGAAACTGCTAAGAATTGCAATTTATCAGGAGGACTTCTGTTTATGTCTGTAGGGTGATTTCTCAGCAGCCTCTAGATTAAGACAGTCATTCATCATAATACCTACCCCACAATAACTTGAAGAATTTCTACACTACTCTAAACCATTCCTTTTACTTTGCTTACATGTCTTCACTTCAGGAAAGTTTCACCAAGAAGCACGACAAAAATAGTTTTGATTATTTAAGGAACATAATTAAACATAACATAATTAAATATGATAAAATGACAGTATGAGCCAGCTCTGGTCCAACATGTATGCTCATATGTCACTGCAAAAAATAACTTAATATATCTGTAGCAGTATACAGTGAATCTTTAAAAATGGAATAACATGAAATTGCAGATAATCATAGAGTCTCACATCAGCTGGAGATAACATGACAAGTAACCATTGATCTCAAACAAGTAGGTTTTAACTTTTTCATAAAGATCAGAGGAAAATATTCAACATTTTAAAATACTACACACTAAACACTAGTTAGTATGTCACAACGCCAG